CCCCCCCCCCCCCGCTGCCCCAGTGCTGCCTTTAGCTTGGGGCAAAGGACTCTTTCCCTAGAAGGCAAACCAGTTTCCACCTGTTTTCAGATCCTTTCTTAAAATAAACCTTTCCACCTGCTTCCGTTTTTGTGTACGCTTACAGTTTAAACGAATCCCCAGAAGAGAACGAAAAGGAGGAGAAATTGTGCCCGGAAAATTTTACCCGCATCCTGGACAGTTTGCTCGATGGTTATGACAACAGGCTGCGTCCTGGATTTGGGGGTAGGACTGCTTCAAAAGCACAAGTGTGTCCTGTCTGTCCCTTTCTGGTCCACTGTCTGTTTGTAGGAATAGCTTTAGGTATACATTGCGTACAGAAATAAACCCCCCACCACCCTTCTTCCCTCTCTTCCTCTCTCCTCTCACTGAGACCTGTGACAAGGAGACCGCCCCCACCCGTACTTCCCTATCTCCCCACCCCCTCAGGAGCTTTGCTTCTCCTCCACACTAATTACCTCCCGGGACCTGACTGCAGGGTGAGGGAGGATGGGGAAGAGGCAGGGACAGAAATGGGTGCTCAGCCGCTGCCACACCGCTGCCACCCCGCTGCCCTGCGCCCTCAGCGGAGCTTGCCTTCTTCTGGCCACTTTACCCAGAGCGGCTTGCACGAGACAGCTCAGCCCAACTCCTCTGTCCTTCCACGTGTTCCTTCCTCAGCCAAGAGTCCGGCCTGCCAAAAGCTGTTCCTAGGACACGAATCTGGGCCACGAAGCTACTTGCCCTGCTAGGGAACTCAGACCTTTCCTGTTCTGTTCTCTTTCACTTTCTTTGGGGAGGTGGCATTTGTTTCCCTCCCAGGGCTTTGCAATTGAAAGTGTTCATCTTCAGCTCTTCATTTAGCAAATATTTATAAAGGCCCTGACAACCATTCTCTGCCAGCACTGCTCGCTCCTGTTCATGTTTCCTTTGTATCTATAATAGAACCTATGTGGCAAACTTTGTACTAGGCATTAAGTTCACAGAAACCTTAAGATATACTTGTTCACCTCAAACAGCCTCTCAGTTACTTCAGTGAGGACAAGTGATTTGCTAGGCTACTAGGAATGGGTTGGCCCACATTCTCTGATGATAAAGTCCCTCTTACTCCCACTGCACCGATTTTTCTCACTTCCAGCCAATGAATTGAGAATAAAACATAGGCAGACGCTATCCTGAAGGAGTTGATATTCTTGGAGCACCAGTAGTAGTAACAGTAATGACAATCACTAATATTTTCATTTCAATCTGGCATTTTACACATATTACTCAAACTCTTACAAGTCCAAAAGAAAGCCATTGCATGACTTATTTTACAAATGAAGAAATCAAGGCTTGGAAAGCAAATTAACCTGATCAAGTTTATAATCGTTAAATGACAGGAACAAGGTGTGAAACCAGGTTGGGTTGTGTATTTAAAATGCAGAACCACTTAGATGAGGATGGCATCAGATACTGTGAGATGTGCTGAGTGTTACATAATACTGGAGGCAAGGAAACATTTAACATTTCTTATTGAGGATGTATGTAAGAGGAGAGATGGTGGGCGAGTGGGAGGCTCTAACCAGGTAGAAGAAATGGTGTCCAGGTCAGAAAGAGTCACTGGAGCGAAAATAAGTGTTTGAGAGAGTGGCATTGATAATTCTTTATGTCTGTCTATCTAGTGCCTTTTTCTTATTTAACAGACGAGGACACTAGGATGAGAAAAGATTTACACAGAGACATGTACCATATTAATGATAGCCTGGGATCCTGTCTTCTAAATTCCAAACCACCTTGTTCTAGGTTTTATCGAAAAAGTTATGGGAAAAGCCTTGGAGATATTAAGTATTTGTGAACTGACAGTGATAAAGATGGACGAGAACTGCCGCTGGGGCGAGGCTGCACACACCACATTTACTTTCATGCAAATCTGGGAAGATTCTTTATTAGGGGAGTGAATCATTTGTCAATGTATGATCTTTTCTTAGTGACTGGGAGGTTGTCATTTCAGATCAAAAATAGTTTTATGGGGAATGTTCCACATGATACAATACCATTTAAGACTATGTCAGTAAAAGAGGATTTAACTGCCCAGAGAGATTTTAATCCTGACATTTCAAGAAAAAACTATTTTTTAGAATTATCAACTTCTCTGTAGTTTAAATATCATCAGAAGATTGATATTTCTAAACCTAAATGAAAAGGAAAAGTTATAACTGGAACTACATGGTTTTATTATTAAATGCTTAAAGTTAAAATAATGTTTGCCCAATTGATCATAAAGCAAATTATAATTCAAAGGACAAAAGGACCCATTGTAGATGGATCTCTTTTACCATGTACTCTATCCCACTACACAGACAATAAACTCAGTGAAAATAATCCATGTAAGCCATCACTGGAGTTTGGTTAACTCTAATGCAGCTCTCTCTCTCCAGGGCACTATTCGTCATTTTACTTGTCACTGCCAAGTAACCCACACTACTCACCTAGAGATGCTTTCAAAGCCTGGTGTGTTGAATTTACTCTACTTTGAGGGTTAGCAAATGATCATTTATTTACTACGTAGTACATTGTTAGGGCTGTGTGTGTGTGTGTGTGTGTGTGTGTGTGCCACTCTGCTCATAAATATTTGTGCTTGATGTGATTCACTTTCTAAAAGTGGGTCATTCTATAAATTCATGGTGTTCGAAATGTGACAGGGGCTCAGTAATTATCACCTGCACAAAATGTATTATCTGTTTACATGAAACTGTAATTGTGCTCCACAAAAAAATAATAAGAAATCTCATTGACAGAGACTCTCAGGTGGTGCAAGTTTGATTCCTCCTATGATATTTTATACTTTCCAGAAAGTTTGGCATTTTAAAACTGAGATGAAAACAAGTCAGATTTTTGACTGGTACATTATAAATATGGATTGACTTCCTGGTTCCTTTAATCCTCCTTCTACTCTTTGTGGAACATTTACTTTTTATCTGTTTATACAAGTTTGCTGTGTTCCATTTAAAATAAAGCTAAAAGCAAAGATTTGAATTGAAATTGGATGGTTTGTGATTGCTCAGTAGGCCAGGCAGGGGTTGAAATAGATTTGGAGACTAAATTACATATTTTTAACTCAGCAGCACAGCTTGCAATGGGGAAGTAAAAGGAACTGTGATGGTTCTCTTCTTTTCATCCCTCCAGGATGTCCTCTGCCTTGTCTCCACATTCTCCTGTTGGGGAAGGAAAGGGGAAAAGGTGAGAAGAGGGCGTAGGGGGCATGTGGAGAGAGGCTGGCATGGGACTTCTGAAGGGAAGAGGCTCTGTCGGCCTCTGATGAATCAGTTCCTATCACGCTGAATCAGTTCCTGTCATCCCGAAGTAGCTTGCACCTGCTTAGAAGTGACACACCAGTGAACCCTTCCAAAAGAAGCTAAAAAGTCATCCCTTCTTGCTCTTGCCCACTTTCAATACTGTAATATGCCTCCATAATAATACATAGCTGGGTATTCATTACTGAGAGATACTTTATGAATCTTGCTTTTATATTTTTCCTATTTATTGTGTGATTGCATAGTCTCATGCCTTAGTTCATACTTGTCACTGAGATGCAATACCTTACATGAGCAACTTAAAGGAGGAGAGACATATTGGCTCAGAGGCTTTAGAAGTTTTACAAAGCTGCTTATGCCATGGGAAAAGGGAGGAGTTGAAGAGAAAGATATGCCCTTCCAGCTCAGGCCCTCATGACCTGCTCCAGGGCCAGGCCCACAATTTAACAGCAAGTCACCACTAGTGCCTCCATAATCCAGTCGCCATCCGCAAGCCCCACCTCTGAGTGTATGAGGCTTTGAAGAAACATCTACATATAAATAGGAAGACTTCATGTACACCTCACCTTTACAGGCAATTGATATAGAATCACAAATACTTAAAATACAGATGGTTGCTTTAGATCATGCTCCACAGCATTTCTGGAATGGTGATAGAGCAAAGTAAGGCTACTTACTCAGTAAGTAGGGTTTTACATTAGGGCAGTCTGCTACACTTTTGAATGCATTTTAATATATAATATTTAAAAAGATAAGCACATAAACACAAAGACATAAACAGGAGGCACTATCCTTTTATTAACAAAGAGAATGGGAATTGATCCAGGACCATACAGCTAACTCATATCCTGATCTTTAAATCCTTAGTCATGTAGATAGTCTATTCTTATGTCCACTTCTGAGGATTTTATTGCATCGTCTTGTTTTTCATGAGCCAACTTTTTCTGAACATATCTTTTGTTACTTTTTTGTGTGTGGTGTTGGAAGTTGAACTCAGGGCCTTCCACGTGTAGGCAAATGCTCTACAATCCTAAACCTAAGATCCTTGACATAAGCAAAACTACATTTCTCTGTAGCAGTGAAGTGAACCCTTTATTCTATATATATATAATAACATTTAAAATAAAAAGTAGACATGAAATCTTGTATTTGTTTGGGTTAACTGGGAATATTTTATGCAAATCAAATTGTTGATGTAATGTTTGTAAATGATCTTTATATATTTCAATCTAAAACTTAAGTCTCTGAGTTATATGCTAAATTTCTTAATCAGATGTCAGCAGAGGATAAATTTTTAAAAATGCATAGATGAACATTTCTAATTACAGAGAGAGAGAGAGATAAAGCTTTATCCTCTTTTGCATTGTCATACTGATTTATTGACTCATTTGTGTAACCAGTGTGCAAAGGCTCCTTCATATTAGAAACAGCAGGAGGTTGTAAAGATACATATTGCTGTAACTTAGAGCCTTATATGCTTTACAGTGAAGCAATGTAGAGCAGTAAAAATAACAAACAAATACATAAAGTAATTAGATAAAAATTTTGTAGGACAATCTGATAGCCTTCAAAAGAGAGATTTGAGTGGGGAGTTTAGTTCACATAGGAATGAGTTTCAAAGGAGTCTTTTAAATTGAAATCTAAAGGGTCCAGGCACAAAAAAGTAAGAGTAAACATGATTTTCAGACAGAGGAAATACAAAAAAGCAAGTGCAAAATCCAAAACTAGTGTTGTTCACACAGTCAAGGGCATTCAGTATGCATGTAGTCAGAAAAGAATGGTGAGAGTCTCCTAGAACAGAGCTGGGACAGCAAACAGAGCCAAGAGCATCCAAGGGCTTCATGGATCAGCAGAGGAGCTTAGATTGTTCTGCTAGTGATTCTGGAGACCTTGAAGTTCTTTAAGTGGAGAGACTGACTTAAACTATGCCTTAGCCTACAAGATCATTCA